AATAATAATATGGAGTTACTAGCTGTAGGTTTTGTTAAGCTGGATTATGAATATTATGGAATTAATAGCTGTAGGTTTTGTTAAACTGGATATTGAGTAATACGGAGTTACTAGCTACAGGTTCTGTTAAGCTGGATGAATAATAATACGTAGTAACCAGCTGTAGATTTTGTTAAACTAGATGAATAAGAATATGGAGTTACTAGCTGTAGATTTTGTTAAACTGGATGATGAATAATATGGAGTTACTAGCTGTAGATTTTGTTTAAACTGGATCAATAATAATATGGAGTTACTAGCTGTAGGTTTTGCTAAGCTGGATGATGAGTAATATAGATATACTAATTGTAGGTTCTGTTAAGTTGGATGATGAGGACCAAGGAGTCACTAGTTGTAGGTTTAGTTGAGGTGGATGATGATTAATATGGGGTTACTAAATGTAAGTTTTGTTAAGCTGGATGATGAGTAATATGGAGTTACTAGTTGTAAGTTTTGTTAAGCTGGATGACGAGTAATACGGAGTTACTAGCTGTAGGTTTTGTTAAGCTGGATGATGAATAATGTGGAGTTACTAGCTGTAGGTGTTGTTAAGCTGGATGATGAGTAATATGGAGTTGCTAGTTGTAGGTTCTGTTAAGCTGGATGATGAGTAATATGGAGTTACTCATTGTAGGTTCTGTTCAGCTGGATGATAAGTAATATGGAGTTACTAGCTGTAGGTTTAATTAAGCTGGATGATGAGTAATAAAGATATACTAATTGTAGGTTCTGTTATGTTGGATGATGAGGACCATGGAGTCACTAGTTGTAGGTTTAGTTGAGGTGGATGATGATTAATATGGGGTTACTAAATGTAAGTTTTGTTAAACTGGATGATGAGTAATATGGAGTTACTTGCTGTAGGTTTTGTTAAGCTGGATGGTGAGTAATATGGAGTTACTAGCTGTAGGTTTTGTTATGTTGGATGATGAGTAATATGGACTCACTAGCTGTAGGTTTGGTTAAGCTGGATTATGAGTATTATGGAGTTACTAACTGGAGATTTTGTTAAGCTGGATGATGAGTAACACAGAGTTACTAGCTGTAGATTTTGTTAAACTGGATGAATAATAATATGGAGTTACTAGCAGTAGGTTTTGTTAAGCTGGATTATGAATATTATGGAGTAACTAGCTGTAGGTTTTGTTAAGCTGGATGAATAATAATATGGAGTTACTAGCTGTAGGTTTTGTTAAGCTGGATCATGAGTAATACGGAGTGACTAGCTGTAGGTTCTGTTAAACTGGATGATGAGTAATACAGAGTTACTATTTGTAGGTTTTGCTAAGCTGGGTCAATAATAATATGGAGTTACCAGCTGTAGATTTTGTTAAACTGGATGAATAATAATATGGAGTTACTAGCTGTAGGTTTTGCTAAGCTGGATGATGAGTAATACGGAGTTACTAGCTGTAGGTTTTGTTAAGCTGGATGATGAGTAATATGGCATTACTAGTTGTAGGTTCTGTTAAGTTGGATGATGAGTAATACAGAGTTACTAGTTGTAGGATTTGTTAAGCTGGATGATGAAGACCAAGGAGTCACTAGTTGTAGGTTCTGTTAAGTTAGACGATGAGTATTATGGAGTTACTCATTGTAGGTTCTGTTAAGCTGGATGATGAGTAATATGGAGTTACTAGCTGTAGGTTTAATTAAGTTGGATGATGAGTATTATGGAGTTACTAGCTGTAGGTTTAATTAAGTTGGATGATGAGTAATATAGATATACTAATTGTAGGTTCTGTTAAGCTGGATCATGAGTAATATGGAGTACTAACTGTAGGTTCTGTTAATTTGCACAATTTCTGATATGCACAGTGGTATAACTACAAAAGATGGGCCCCCATACATTTATTGCCTTTGACAGCAATTTTTAAGTTTGTTTTGGTTATGAACTTAAACTAACAATATAAGCTACTTATGAATTGTGAATGAACAAATTAATAACTTAAGAAACAACAAAATGCTCACCATGTTGTTTTTTGATCTGGTAGAACTTGAAGTGACGAATTCCTAATAAACAATTTGGGGAAACAGGTTAAGGTTTGCATGCACAAATATAGGATGTAAAACAAACACAAAATTTGTGCAGGATCAGAACCAAAAATTATAACTCTAAAAGCAAAAAACAATTAACATAAAGGAGAAACATAACCATGCACTGATATTAAACATAGCCAAAAACAAATGAACCCATTTGAACATAAAACACTGTTTCAAACTTAGTAAATTTAAAAACAAATTATAAAATGAATAGTCCAAGTGTCCATGCATATTTCAACTGTCAAATGGATACATCATAAATTAATGTAAAGTTGATATCATATATGAGTAAATCACAAGTCAATGTAAGTAAAACAGGTTAAAACACATGCCCATGTAAATCTGAATTATAAACTGGATTAACCACCTGTCCATATAAATTTTTAATTTAAATTAGTGTATCAACCTTTAAAAAAAAATATTTTTTTCTTTTACTGGTACATTTCATAATGCTACAAGTGTTACCCAATTCAACAATAGGTATTAATTTTTAAACATGTACTATTTACAGAAGTATTTTGGTTTTGTAGAAATAAAAAAATACTGCTGCCATAAAATATACTGATAAATAGGGTATGCTTGTTATTTTGGATGTTGGAGAAGCTGGAAAAAAGAAAATTTCAAACACACTTTCTAAAATGAATAGGTGAAAGACTTTTTAAGTGTATGGATGTAACATCTGCAATGCAATAAAAACACCACTATAAGGTTGATAACCATTTGTTATATTATTGTTGACAATTAGCTGTATCAAAATACAAAGAATGAAATGTATGATGGAAAAAAAAACACACACTTGATCCAGGTTTTCCTGGTGTCATTGGAACAGTATTTTTTCCTGTCACGTTAGTTGGAAGATTTGAACTGTTGATGTTGTTGTTAGTAACAATATGAGTGTTGTTACTGCTGTTTTCATTGTTGTTGTTCCCAGACATCTGAGGTGCAACAGGGAAACTATCCAAGCTGGGTTTGTTGATTCCCTGTCTGGCTTCAGCTATAAGTTTCCTGGCACGTTCTCTCAGCTGTTTCTGTCTTTCATCTTCTTGCTGTGGAATATGAAAATTACTTCTTTTAAAATCAAATTAAGTATGTAATTTATTATGGTGTTAATCACTGAAAGCTGGCAAAGCAATGAAAGTCATGAGGTCTAATACCTGTGATAAAAATCACATTTTACTAGAGGAACAGAAAAAAGCATGTTTTCAGATCTCTGTTTTGTTGTCCTCTGGTGCTTCAGCAATAAGGTAAATGATTCATAACACTATAATTTAGGTTTAATCCCTGTGGTTGTCACAGTACTATTGCCCACAGTGCAGCTTTTTGCTTAACAACAAATAAATTATCTTTTGTCTGCCACAAGTCATGCCCAGAAGGTTTCTGGTTAAACAAACACAATTAACTTGAAATCTGTAATGGGCAAATTAAGAGGAATGTGGAAAACACTGTAGCAATATAGCAAAATTTTTGTCACAAATGTTAGGACTGTAGGTAAACCATTGCATTCATTTTTATAAATAGAATAATGACTAAAGACAAGTCTTCAAAGAACTAAATGCACTCAGTAACAGGACCTTCACTTGAAATACCAAATATTTGAAAAGTTAATAATAATTTTTATTTTTTTGTTGAAGAATTTTTGAAAAACTTTAGTTTCACAGTTATGGAAAAAACTTAAAAGAGACCACCAGATTAATATTTACATTCTTTACTTGAGATTAATACAACAAACAGAATATGGTGATAATGGTCCACTCACAGTTTGTTATTATAGTCACATGACAACCTTATATTGGTTAATTACAGAAATAATTTAAGATAAGTCTCAAAATTGAGGGATTTGCCAAGTCCTAGTAATCTATGTAGATAGCCTTACATATTATCTGATTTAAATAACCAGTTGTTGGTCCTAGTTGTCAACTTGAAATCATAATGGAAAATGCTTGTGGTCATAGCACCAAAATGTATTGGGGATATTCCATCTATTAGACAGAATCCAAACACTGATGTTAAACTAGCCAGCAGTCATGGAAGATAATTAAGAAAGAAGCAACAATAATGATGTTCATGCAAATTATTTAGATTTAGAATATAATCTTGTAGAAGGAAGAGCACATTTGACTATTTTCGATAAAAGGAGGGAATTTAATTTTCCCATCCTTTGTCTATCCACCCCCAATAGTGTTATGATGTTTATACTGATAATAGGTATAATTAGATCTCAATGAAAAAGGTTTTTAACAGTATGTAACAATAGTAATGATTTTATGGATAATGTTTTAGTATTCATAAATAAACTGAAAGTTAATAGATATAAGGATTGGCAATTAAAAAACTCTTTATTCTTTTTCATAATAAATACGAAAATACTTTAAAAAATAAACTCTCAATTATGGAAAATACCTTATGAGAAATTATAGGTTGTTAGTTACTCAAGATTATTCTTGGTTTATAAGTAGCTAACTTTGTAAATATAATTTTGTTCAGTATACTGGGACAGAAAGACTAACTTCAAGTAGCTGGGCTTGTCTCAGATTTCCCATGTTATGAAAGACTAACTTCAAGTAGCTGGGCTTGTCTCAGCTTTCTCATGTTATGAAAGACTAGCTTCAAGTAGCTGGGCTTGTCTCAGCTTTCCCATGTTATGAAAGACAAGCCCAGCTACTTGAAGTTAGTCTCAGCTTTCCCATGTTATACCTCTCTTGAACTTAGACTTCGAAATTAAACAATTTTTGGAATACTAAGTTTATTTATAATAATGAATTTAATATAAAACAAGCATTGCAGTAAAATTAAGTAAATATTGCCATTGTCAGTCCTATTTGTCAACTTGAAGTCATAACAGATAATGCCTGTGATCATAGCACCCAAATGCATTGAAGATATTCCATCTATCAGACAAAATCCAAATGCTGATGTTAAACTAGTCAGCTGTAATGAAAATAATCAATTAAGGGTATGGAGCTAAGTGCTTACACCTACAACGTCTCAACCAGTTGTGGGTAGGCAGTTACCCTTAAAATTCTGATACAACCTTTGAGTAGAAAAAAAAACATTCAAAAATTTCCACAATGTAAAAATTTCCAACCTTAATAGTTCTCACATTCCAAACCTCCTCCCTTTCTCTTGAAGATTTATTCAAATCCAGTTCAATCTACACTTTGATCAACGTGTGTTATTGGGTTATACTAGTTTAGGAGAATTTCACTCCTCATCAGTAACCCTGAACACAAGTTAACCAAAGAGAGATAGGCTGGACCTATATCAATGACACTTTTTCTTCACTTCACCTATCTAGTGTATAGGTTTTCTCATAGTAACTACAAAGCACGTGCACACCAACATACTATTAGAACTATTTATACACATATATATAAAATATATGCTCTAAATATAATGACCTCATTGATCAGTTACTAATTAAATCAAAATTAAGATTTAACAGTTACTTTGCATAAAATCAATGTTAACAATGACTGATGGAGAAAATTTCTTTAACAGGAAGAATCAATAACTATATACACATGCCTCACTTAAGACTGAATCAGTAAAATTTCCTTCTTGATACTTTCCTCCACTTGGATGATTCTTTTAACAAAGACGTCAAAATTTATAATTATTTTAACAATGGGAACAGCATTCTCCTTCACTTCAAAAACAGCAATTTCATACAAAAAAATCTCACTGAAAATCACATACTCTATTAGTAGTTATGAAATGTTTCTTACTTGTACTGCACAACAAACTTTTAATTAAGATTGTAAGGTGAGTGGTTAAGATGAAAAAAATTGCACAACATCAAGCTGATAATTTTAAAAGTGACATGAGTATAGTAGTAGATTATCCTGTAATGTAACAATGACATAACATATACCTCAATATTTCTGACAATCAAAATATTATTAGATTTAAAATGTATTCATATCATGTCTACTGAATGTCTGTATTTATCAAACACATTAATGTAGATAAACCAAATATAACACAAATACAGTCACATTCATCAAAGAGAGACAGAAGTGCACATTTAAGTTCACATGACTGCATCATTTAAAACCTTAAAGAAACAGAGCTGTGAGAGTTAACCATATCATTAATCCTAAGGAAGAGCATCCTTGCCTCATCAAGCTGGTTGGATGACTTTTTTAGAGCTGCTTTCGCAGCTGCTTCTCGTCTCGCTTGCTCAAGCAACTGACGAGCACGTTCTTTCAGTTCTTCCTGCCTTGACAGTTGACGCTGAACAAATACAATATATTATACAATTTTAAAAACTCTATGCAGGTATAGCAGAAAGTAACAGTTTTTTATTCACTGTACAAATAGAACAAAAATAACAATGTTATAAACACAATGCAGATAGTAAAAAAAAAGTAACAGTTCAATAATTACAGTACAATATTACAAAATCTTTTTACAATCACTTTGCAAAAAATAAAGGAAAAAGAAGTTAAGAAAAACTAATTGTGCAATAATAATAAGAGAAAATTACAGTTTGAAAGTCACTGTATAAATAAATCAAACAATACTCAGTAAACTATTAAAAAAGAAGAAACCTATTAGGTTTTCCCATTGCTACAGTATCTGTATGTGTAGTGGACTGGTTTACATACATAAAACCAGAATATGTGTAAACAGAAATCCACATCACTTGTAAGTTCTTTAACTCATAAATACAGGAAAATACTTATATTTTACCAACATAGAAACTTTAATCTTTTCTAAAAAACAAAACTAAACCTATAATACTTTGAACAATTTAGGCATGCACATTGTTTTTATACAGGTATAAGATATTTTTCTGCTGTTTATTACCTTTCTTAGATGGCTTTCAATCGTAAGAATTCCCATCATACTGTAAACATATTTTAAATAAAGCAACATATTACATCTTTAGAATTAAATGTAAGTTTTAAATTATATTTATATGACTATACAAGTAACAATAAAATTAACACATACATGTGTAATTGGTTGACTATTCGGAAGTGAATGAGTTCTATTCAGCTTGGTAGGGGACAAGTCTAACAGACCAGGAACCTCATCCACACATTCTTCTCCTTCCATGAAAGATGCTGATCTTACTACAGGTGGTTCAGAGGCACTTTTCTCAATATGAGGAAAATGGGACGGCTCCAAAATGGAATCTTTCACTTTCTGAAGTCTTTTGACAGATTCTCCAGATGTTGACACACGACCGAAAGACTGATTCTCTGTGGGGCTTGATGGAATGACAATAGCTGAACTAGAACATTCTACAGTGACAGACAAAGCAGATGGTTGATTCTGAGCTGCTAGTTCTTCCTCTTCTTCTCCATCAGAGTCAAAGGGATTCATTAATTGCTTACGAGTCATCAACTTTGGTTTCTCCTGACAAGTTATTTTTTGTTCCTGAACACTGGATTGAGATTTGTCTTTAGCTAAGCTATCTTTTGACACAGTAAAATTTGTGTGAAATTTTATGAGGTCATTGCTCGTAAGTTTGACAAAGTAAGCCTTTTCTTCTTCTGCTTTTGAGTCAGACTGTGAAGGAGAGTAACCAGGTATTTGCTGAAAAGGTTCCAATACTAATTTCTGGAAATTCTGACTAGAATTAACTTGTGTATCTCCCACTGGATGGTGAGTTCTGTTGGACTGTTTGGAAGTTGAAGCACTGGGATCTGTTGCGGCACTCTGTAGACTAGATAGTTCACTCCCAGAAGAGTCTGTCACTGAGGAAGTGACCAACGGAAGTGGTGTTAAACTGTCCTCATCACTATCAGGCTCTCGGATAGTGTAAGTGGAGTCAGTGGCTGTCTGACCTATCTGCTGAACTTTCACTTCTTGACCAGTGAAGTGAGCACGGAGTTGGTACAGGTAGGTCATTACTGCAAGTTTGTCTGGGACGGCCAATATCACCATATCAGAAGGTTCAATGAGTCTAGGAATACCCAAACTAAAAGCTGCATCAAAGGCCTTGAAAGATATAGGAAAGAATATGTCAACTTACTAATATGTATCTTCTTATGAAAATGATTTACTCATCAAGGCAAAATTTAAAAACAAGTTAATATTGTGTTTGCTTTTAAAACAAAAGTTATTTAATTGTTATTGCAAACTTATATTTATAATATATTGTATTAATATACTGAAAATAACCAACTTGTTGACAATTTGGAAGTGTAATATAGTAGAAAATTAGAAACCTGTACCATTTCAACCAGTGTTGAATAAATGAGTTTCCAAAATGGATTCCTAGTGTCATACATCTCAGGATTATTCCAAAATATATACATATTTAGTGTGAAAAATACAAAGTAAATTCCACTAGCATAATGTCTCACATATAAAAAAAAACTTAAAGTGTTAGTTTTACAGTATCTTTAAATGAAACTATTAGTAAATAGGTTGTTAACTTGAGAAAATAGGGCAGTGGTTTCCAAGCTTTTTTCACTGACAACACCCTAATCCACTTACCTTGACCTGCGCCATACCCCTGCTGTCACATGCAATATTTTGTTTTGTAGAGTTTATGTTATTAATTATTCTTCATTTTGTGAAACTCTTGCGACACCCCTAGCAACTTGACACAACACACAGTTTGGAAACTATAGTTCAATTTTTCGTTTGTAATAAATATACTTATTTTGTACATCTAAATCTATGGGTGCAAGAATTCTATTTTTAATGGAATGATTTATATTTTCAGAACTTATAAGCTAATGTAACAGCTGCCAGCTTGAAACACATCTAACATATTTTACACTTGATGCTTCTTCAAGTCAATAAATCAACCTGTTTTGACTTAGCTATTTCTGCTCTTGATACTGAACAAGAGGGAATCCTCAATAGCTGCGGCTGTAAGTAGATCTGAAAACCGGTCAAGAGATGGAGCTATGAGCTAAAATTCTGTACATGAAAAAAAAAAAAAACTCAGAGCAATTCTATGAGCCTATATGTCGCGGCTAAAAACAAAAGCTCAGCCCGCATTATTGCCCTTAATAGAATCATTGTTAAAGTTTTAAAACCTAGGACTTGTATATTTATCTCACACAAATGGGACAAAGATAAAAATTCCCGGGTTTTAACAGTCAATGACGAACCTTTTTACAATTTCCCTTAATATCATGTGGTGAAAGAGCAGAGAAATCAATCAGATCTGGACGAAAATGGTGTATTACTGCACAGAAGGCCATGCCGTTTCTCCAAGAAGTAGTCATGTTGGTTACTTTAACTCCTCGGAAACTTTTAGTTACATCTTTACACCACGTCAATAAGTCTTCACTAGGCCTCATCGCGGTACCCGAGTCAGGACCTCGTTCTTGGCTTTGGGAATTGTCTTTATCTACGTCGGTATCCTTTCTATATATAAAAAAGTAGACATAACCACACTGTACATTTGCTAGGTATAAATCATGATATTTTAAAATGTAATTATAATTCAAAACTTTCAGTTCACCTGAGAAATTGAAATTTGTAACTAAGTCGCTAGGTGGCGCTTTCCACATAATGACATTTCTAGAAATGAAAAACTGATTATGCTAGCGTTTTAGTCTTGAAACGAATCAATGCACACTGATTAATCTGTGACAATGCTTGTAAAAACGATTTTTGTCTATTAAACTTTTACGAAGAGATCTAATGCCGACGTGAACGCACAGTTTCGAAATATTTTAAACCTTATTTACTTATCCATTAGAAAAAAAAACGAAGATACATTTCTTAGTCGGTTTTTAACAAGCTAGTAACTACAAATGAAAGCAATGTTAAAACCCAATAATTACAAAGTATACGTCTTTTATCACAATAATTACGTGAAAGTGTACCCTACAAGTTCTACATGGTCATTATATAAAGTCACATAGCTGTGAACAGAAGTGAGCCTTTCATATTAAATACTTCTTAAGAAGTGCAACCAGATCTACTAAAACGAAAGCACAATCAGGGTGAAGTGTATCAAAACGACAGCACAACCAGGATAAAATGTACCGAAACTTCACCAAAACTACAAGTGTATCTACAAATCAGCGCAACGAGGGTGAAGTGTATTAAACATCATGTCTACAAACAACAGGTTAAGTTTAACAGCTTGTCCCCTCCGGAACAAATCACAGAAAGAACGACGAAAAGTTAAAATGTGCTAAATTATGTATATTTTAGTCACTAATAATGACGAAGTTTTCAACATCCAATGTCGCATAATGATTACAACCGAAGGGTCGGGATATACAAGCTGATCTCAGTCAGGATGTACAAGCTGATATCAGTCGGGATGTGCAAGCTGATCTCAGTCGGGATGTACAAGCTGATATCAGTCGGGATGTACAAGCTGATATCAGTCGGGATGTACAATTTTATCTCAGTCGGGATGTACAAGCTGATCTCAGTCGGAATGTACAAGCTGATCTCAGTCGGGATGTACAATTTGATCTCAGTCGGGATGTACAAGCTGATCCCAGTCGGGATATACAAGCTGATCTCAGTGAAGTTAGTCCTTATGATTCGTGTACACACTGAAAAAAAGTATAGTTCTTGTTGCCACAAGAGAAGTACATCACGAAGTATACTTTTCATGATGTAAAAATGGTGTTCTGTCCAAGAAATAAATAAATGTCATCATAAAACCGAGTGTTTAAGATGTGCCCATTAACAGACTCTTAACGGTTACCGCAGACACCGAACAATTACTATAATTACACCACACTCTTATAATTGCAAGTAATAATTTGGGTTTCTAAACACGTCACTAAAAACTGACTTCATACTGTAAACCTTGCTGGACTGAGAGGTGTGAACTGTCAGAAAATAAACCCTCAACTGTTTAAACTGTAGTCAAGTTAGAATTTGTCGTATTTATGAAATAGACATAGAAACAAATTTTATAAAACGTTTATTTATATATCAAAGACAATATATTTGAAGACCGTCCAGAGAAGTGTAAAATAATGGAAACAGAAACTCTTGTAAAACTTCATTATAACGTTAGATAAAGTATCAAACATAATCTAAATTCATGAGAACTGTAAAAAAATAAAAAATATGTTATTATAATATATACCTGATTGCTAATACCAAACTATTTCATTAGGACACTTGGAACAAACGCTGAATTGATACATATATCTACATGAGAGAGATTCAAGTTGAAAAATCATAAAATAGACATGAGACAGATGCCAAAAGAAACCAAGTTTGTGTCGACTTCTCCTCAATAAAAGCTACTTGAGGGTTGTAGGAATTAACGTTAATACTTTCGTTTTGTATTCTGAAAAGCTATGTAGGGCAGATCATTTAGAAGAAAGACTGAACTGCCACATACACTCGTTACACTTAACAGAATTCGGCCCCGACGTTAACTGGTGGTAGGCATTATTAGCACACTCACCAAAATATGAATACTAAAAGTTTTCGACCAACTAAGACATAGCTCCTGTTAACCTCTCTTTTCAGTGAAGGTACAGGATTGCGCTAATAAAATAACTCTATGAGTAATTTACGGGACAACTTAAGCCTTACCAGCAGAATAAACGGATCTTTTCCGTTTGGTGCCCACCAACAGTAATAAGCGTGAAAGTGGAACTCATCGCCAAATGCTTCACTCCATCTTTGTGAACTTATGTGAAGAAATAGAAACAAAGATGAAGATTTATTCAAAAAAACATTGTTTAATATTGCAGAATTCGCTAAATAAATACCATATGATGATTTATTATTAATTATTTTACTGTTATTGCATTACTGGTGTTATTTTCAAAACGATTTGTTGGTTGGCACCAAACGGAAAAGACCCGAATAAATTACCTAACGACAAACATATATCAATACCATGAAGAGTGCTCTTAATGAAAAGAAACAAACATACTGTCCACAGGAATCACATTTAAACTGATACGTTCTACGGTGATGCTAAACAAGCAGAAACCGTAATATATTTAAACGTTAAAAGCAAGTTGCACAAAATTAAAGAAACGGAACAAAGTCGAGGAGAAAATTAGATAGCTAACGATCACGTTTCAACTAAATGAAGACGGCGAGGGTTTAAGGAAAGGCACGAGATTATCAGTTGGAGACAGTAGAAAGCATTAAAATACCGCCACTGGCAGCAGGCAGACTGCCAATCCATACAATAGCCTTCGTCTAGGCGTTTAGCGATCAGCGCTCCTTGTAGTATTACATGCATGAGAAACTAATTTTCTTCTTGGTGGGACCTCTCAGGCAGCGCGTTCTGTTCCTTGAGGGTAGTTGGGTCAGCTAATGACTGCTCCGCTTGTAACCCTACGAATTCTAATTGGTTGATGATGTTCTACACCTGAACTCCTCACTGATGCTTCACGTATACTAGCATGTATTTTGTTCCCTGGGGATACGTGTAGGAACAGAACAGAATACCAATATAGTAATCAGAAGATTTAATGGCACGAGACTGTGACTTGTATTTCGGTTAAAATTCCAAATTTTGTACACGTTTTTTACCCAGAGTTATTACAAAAACGATTAAAAGTAATAAAATAATAAGTATTACACGTGCTACAATAACATAACATGCAAAAATAATGAAGGCAACAAAAAAGTACAGCATATGCCAAATACTACATACAGATTAACACACACCCTTTTGCAATAATAAAACCTACCAATTACAGTGTATGCTGTTAAATATATATTATAAATATAAATTTAATATACGCTTTCCACTATAACACAACATACATTTGAGACCAACACACATCTAATATACACATCTACAGTCATACAGAGTGCTAAAAATAATCTAAGTTTATGATAACAGTATATAACTCATGAGCATATATTCTACAAAATCACATCCTGACTGAGTAACAACTGAAATTTGAGAGTTAAGTTCGAACTCTAAGCATGATTTTCAACGAAAAACAAACAAACAAATTAGGAAGATTACATGCCTAATGGCCTAACACATTACAAGCAGCATTATACGCCAGTGCTAAAAGGCATTCCTTATCAACATAATAATTTCTTAGTGTTTAACACGTCGATCATAGAGAGGGAGTTATTTCTGAAGCTTGGTTAAGAATGTAGAGGTAGACTAATGTCACAGTATTTCGATATCCTGAAGTGAACAACTGAAAATCCTTCATAGATAACTAGACTGAACAGAGAAACTGTTCGAGCGGCAGAATGATGGAGCGGCCATGGTTCGAATAAAGATGATGGAGAGGAGCACTTAACTGTCGATAATGTAGAATATACAATACTGTAAAGGCAGTTGGAAATCTTAGACTAGTTAATAGGGAGGGAAAAATAAAACAAATGAAGATAGATACATTTTGATTTTTCAAACAATTTGTGTTAACAAGTTCTGACCACGCTATTTACATTTTATAATATTTTTTGGCTGTGCCTATTAACATAAAATATTAACTGGGTCGTAGTAAAAAATATCAAACTTCATGTTCTCGCTCCTGTACAAACGCACGTGAATGAAAATACAAGTGGCAACTGTATACTAAAGGACAAACATCTCTTTACTTGTAAAGGGTGATGATTAACAAGTTTCATGTAGAAACCACGAATTGTAAAATAATAGGACTTAGGTTTAAAAGCTTACGAATAAATAGGTATCACGCTCCAATTCCACTTAAAACATGTAAGGTTATAAGAGGCGCCACCATCTTATGATATGCATATGATCTATAATACAAATTTGCAAATAGATTTAAAACCTCAAGTTACTATATGACATGCTATCAATACAACGCGGGGGACAATATTGGTGTAATATTAAGGACATACCGCTGCGCTACATGATAACAATATGAGTCATGCAATTATGAGCGCTATATACAGAATGCTATCCAAAAGGTAGCTTTTGCCCGGAAAAGTTTGCCAGCAGGTTGTTGTGGTGTACTTAAATCGAACACAATAATAAGTACTGATGGGTGATACATCGGCTACATGCGACACCTGACTTAAAGTGAGACTTATTTATCATTACAAATTATCAATGAATTTTATGGATCGTTCTCTAGCACTTCTATACTTAAGGCTTCGGTACTGGCATTTATAACATGAACCTTATAAGCAATTGGTCTAAGCAGCCAGGTTATAAGGATACGCGTGTCCCCAAGTCCGCTCTTTTATCTGTATTAACATGCAACACTTATACTCTTTGTTTACCATGAAGAAACATGGCCTAACCGGATGAAATAAAACAAAAGTACAGAATTAAAACACGAACTGGTAGAAAATATCTTTGGGGAAATAAAAACACACAGAGTGGTAGAGCTATGACGTCTTTAACTTAACCCATATTCTAATGCCCCAGAAGAGATAGAAGTTTAAATTTCAAAACGTTTGAAGCTTAAGTAAGGAGTAATTTCAAA